TCAGCTCAAGGCAAGCGCTCTACCACTTGAGCTACAGCGCCACTTCCGGTTTTCTGGTGGTTTATTGGAGATAGGAGTCTCACGGTCTTTCCTGCCTGGGGGTTGGCTTTGAACCGTGATTCTCGGATCTCAGCCTCCTGAGTAGCTAGGATTACAGGCATGAGCCACCGGTGCCTGGCCATTTCTGGTTTTTGAGAGGTTAATTGGAGGTAAGATTCTCAGGGACTTTTTCTGCCTGGGCTGGCTTTGAACCAGGATCCTCAGATCTCAGCCTCCTTTTTTTTTTTGGGTCCGGTCGTGGGGCCTGAACTCTGGGCCTGGGTGTTGTCCCTCAGCTCTTCAGCTCAAGGCTAGCGCTCTACCACTTGAGCCATAGCACCACTTCTGGCTTTTTTTTTCCTGCTTATGTGGTGCTGAGGAATCAAACCCAGGGCCTCAGGCATGCAAGGCAAGCGCTCTACCACTGAGCCACCTTCCCAGCCCCAAGATCTCAGCCTTCTGAATAGCTAGGATTACAGGTGTAAGCCACCAGTGCCAGGCCTGGTGCCGGGCCTGGTTCTTAATTTTGTATAACATATTTTCTAGATAAAGTGAGGTTATATTCTTTAAATTTCTTGAGTTTTGGGTGTTTTTTTTTCCTGCTGTCTGATTAGCCTTTATTTTTTTGTATGTGTGGATTATTTTAATCTATTTTTGGTGCTGGCACTACAGCTTTACCTTATGGCTTCAAACTTAGCTTTCTTCCTCTATCATCCCTCTATCATGGTTACCATTCTGTCTCTTAGAGCTGATGAATGGGAGATAAATTAGTTGGGAATAATTTGCTTGCTGGCCTCAAACTGAGATGATCTCTGCTTGTATATTTTTTTTTATTAGAGAGGTTTCCTTATGACATTTCCATACAAAGAAACAAAGTATCCTGATCAACCTCACTCCCTTTATTCCCCTTCATTTCACTCACTCCCCCTTAAAACAGTTTCAATAAATTTCTTTGTTCTATTTTCATACATGCAACTAAACTACCTGGACCATTATTTGTGTTCTTTGTTGATCCTCCCTCCAGCCAGTTCCCACTCCCTATCTGAACCTGTTTTACTTTTTTGCCATTTATTTCTTTTTTAAAGTGTGAATTAATTGTACCAAGAAGTTTCTCTATGATAGCATTAATGTTTTGCACTGAATAACACTCAACATTCAACTGCGTTTCTCTTCCCCTGCCTCTTTGGGCTCTGAGTGATCAACAACTTCCATTGAGGTTTCTTATGCCATGTTCTTATGTGGTTGCACTGTATTTCAAAATTACTCAAGTTTTTTTGAGTGTGATGCTGAAGATTAAATCTAAGGACTTGAGCAGACTACAGAATCATTAAGGTAGTAACATGTGCTATTTTGTTTGCTCAGTGGAATTTTGAAATAAGGTGAAGAGGGATATTTGGGGAGGGGAGAGCTTAAAAATGTTCTTTTTATTCAGCAGTCTGCCAATTTATAGGTTAGATAATTTAATTTACAACTGAGACTGTGTCTCTCTGTGAATGATAGAAGTATACAAATTATAGTCAGCAGATAGATATCAGAAGGCAGTTAGCATATTTCTAAAGGACATTAATTCTGTTTATAGTATAAATTTAGGAAGGTGGGGATTGCTATGTCCTGTAGTATAAAACCCATGTTGATTTTGTTTAGTGCTTGGTTCAGCTGTAATATAGTTTAAATAATTAGGATTTCACTTCTCATTTCAAGTTAGGAGACTTTGATTTTATTGTTTGACTAAGAGTTAACATATGTATCATTAAATTTCTTTTTCTTTTTTTTTTTGTCAGTTGTGGGGCTTGAACTCTGGGACTGAGTGCTGTCCCTGAGCTTCTCTGTGCTCAAGGCTAGCACTCTACCACTTGAGCCACAGTACCACTTCTAGCATTTGCTGTTTATGTGGTACTGAGGAATCAAACCCAGGGCTCCCTTTATGCTAGGCAAACACTCTATCATTCAGCCCTCATTAAATTTCAAAATGGGATTCAGCTGGGGGGCATGGCTCAAGTGGTAGAGCACTTGCCTACAAAGCAGAAGGTTGTAAATTCAAGGAAAATAGGAAATTAAAATAAGATTCTTGGATTTTGTTTATAAACATCTTATGTCAGTGTAGGTTTTTAATGTGTCTGAGCATTTACCCACCAGGCCTATTTAACTTTTTGTCAATATAAAGTTAATGTTAGTTGTGTGTGTATATGCACACGTGGCTTTAGTATTAGGGCTTAAACTCAGGTCCTCAACTAATCACTTGGCTTTATTGTTCATGGATGGCACTGTATCACTAGAACCACACCTTCAGACCAGCTTTTTGCTGGCTAATTGGATATGAAGTCTCAAAAACTTTTCTGTCTATGCTGACTTTAAACAGCAATCTTTCAGGACTGTCCTGAGTATCTAAGATTACGAGCACAAGCTACAGTGCCTGGTAATTTCAGTTAGTTTTAATTATTTATTTTCCTCATATAGGCAGTTGGCCAGACAGCAAGCTGGTAAGAAAAAAGAAGAGGACAAAGAAGGTAAGTAATATTAACAGCCCTTAAGGGTTTTGGAGGGGGTGGGGACCTTTCAAATTTAAAAAATACATAATTTTTAAATTATGTTAATACTGTTTATGGATTTGAAATACATATAACCTGTACATATTTAAAATGTATGTTTTGCTAGGTTTTGTAATAAGTGTACACAAAGCTTTCATCACAGTGTGATAGTGAAAATGACTATCACTCAAACATTTCTTTGCCTGCCTGACCACCTTTCCCTCCCTCTCTCCTTTCCTCTCTCCCTTTTTCCTTCTTTCCTTCATTCCTTTTTTTGTGATAGTACTGGAGCTTGAACTCAGGGCCTCAAGCTCTTGCTTGATTGGCCTTTTTCTCTCAAGTTTGGTGCTTCGCTGCTACCTGAGCCAGGTTTCCCCTTCAGGCTTTTTGCTGGTTAATTGTAGATAAGAGTGTTGTGTACTTCTCTGCCTGGACTGGCTTCAAACTTCTGTCATATCTCAGTCTCCTGAGTAGCTAGGATTATAGGCATGAACCAGTAATGCCTAGTCCAAACATTTCTTTAGATACTTCTGTAATCCCTCATAGCGTTTTTGTTTTGTTTTTTTTTCCTGGTATAGAGCTTGAACTCTGAGCCTGGGCTCTGACTCTTTGTCTTCAAAGGTAGTACTCTGCCACTTGACCATTTGAGCCATAGCATGACTCTGGACTTTTTTTCTTTTTTTTTTGTCTGTCATGGGGCCTAAACTCTGCGCCTGGGCACTGCCCCTCAGCTCTTCAGCTCAAGGCTAGCACTACCACTTGAGCCACAGTGCCATTTCTGGCTTTTTCTGCTTATGTGGTGCTTAAGAATTGAACCCAGAGCCTCATGCATGTTAGGCAAGCACTCTACCACTGAGCCACCTTCCCACTCCTGGACTTTTCTGAGTAGGTTATTGGATATAAGAGTCTCATAGACTTGCCTGCATTGGCTGGCTTCAAACCATGATCCTCAGGGGCTGGGAAGGTGGCTCAGTGATGGAGCGCTTGCCTTGCATGCCTGAGGCCCTGAAATAGAAAAAAGCCGGAAGTGGCGGTGTGGCTCAAGTGGTAGAGCGCTAGCCTTGAGCTGAAGAGCTGAGGGACAGCGCCCAAGCCCAGAGTTCAGGTCCGACGACTGGATCCCAAAAAAAAAAACAAAAAACCCATGATCCTCAGATCTCAGCCTCCTGAGTAGTTAGGATTACAGGAGTGAGCCACCACCAGTGCCCCGCTTTTTGTGGCTTTTTTTTTTTTTTTTTGTGGTCAGTTGTGGGGCTTGAACTCTAGGCCTGGGTGCTATCCCTGACCTCTTCAGCTCAAGGTGAGTGCTCTACCATTTGAGCCACAGCGCCACTTCCTGTTTTCAGGTGGTTAATTGATGTTAAGAGTCTCACGTATATTCCTGCCCAGGCAGGCTTTGAACTGCAAACTTCAGAACTCAGCTCCTGAGTAGCTAAGATTACAGGGTGAGACCAGCACCTGGCTTTCCTCCTGGCTTTTAAAGATTCACCCTCCCTACAAGAAACTACCAATCGCTTCCTCTCACTATATATTAGTTTTCATTGTCTAGAGTTTTTTACAGTATAGGATCATAAAGTATGCTATGAATGTATCACAATTTGCTTATCACATCTTTTTTTTTTTTTTTTTTGAGGTGAAGTCTTACTGTATGGCACAAATTGGCCTGTAACTCCAGCTAAAAGTCCTCCTTTTTTCAGCCTCAATGCTTAGAATTACTGTTATATACCACAACACATGGCTTTATCCCTTCTTTTTGTTATGGATTTGAATTGTATCTTGTTTGGGGCTACCCCAAAATACTTTCAATTTGGGTACAAGTATTTTGTATTACATATCTTGCTTAGGAGGGAAAATAATAGATCATACCTTAGGTGTATGTTGTAACTGCTCGTAAAGATAACTTTAAGGTACTGTTACGTTGTTACTTGAAAATTTAGCTATTCAATTGTTCATTTTCAAATTGTTTTGTATTATTACTTCAAATCTTTTTCTCTGCACATTGTGAAGACAAAGTGATTGCAGTTACTCGGTCATTAAGAACTAGAGACATTGTTCAGACTACAGAGCATTTGCATGATGAGAACGGTGATGTTGAAGTTCGACGCAGTTGTAGGATTCGAAGTCGTTATAGTTCTGTGAACCAGTCTGTGCTGTTTGACAAACTTATAACAAAGTGAGTAAAATTTCCTTAGATCAGAATGATTTTTTAGAAACATTTTTTTCATTTTTTGGAAGACCATCCTGTAGATTTTTAAATGCTGAATTGGTATAATGCATGAAAGAGAATAGTTATGGGGCTGAGAAGGTGGCTCACTGGTAGAATGCTTGCCTTGCATGTATGAGGCCTTGGTTTGATTCCTTAGCACCACATAAGCAGAAAAGGCCAGAAGTGGTACTGTGGCTCAAGTGCTAGCCTTGAGCTGAGAGACAGTGCCCAGGCCCAGAGTTCAAGCCCCATGACTGACCAAAAAAAAAAAAGAACGGTTATTACAGACCTTCATAATAATCGCATCTGAGTGTCTAAATTATTGGAAAGAAAATTTTACACATTAAGTCTATGTTTCTTTCCTTTTTTTTTTGGTCAGTCGTGGGGCTTGAACTCTGGGCCTGTGTGCGGTCCCTCAGCTCTTCAGCTCAAGAGTAGCACTCTACCACTTGAGCTACAGCGCCACTTCCAGTTTTCTGGTGGTTTATTAGAGATAAGAGTTTCACGGACTTTCCTGCCCGGGCTGGCTTTGAATTGAGATCCTCAGATCTCAGCCTTCTGAGTAGCTAGAATTATAGGCATGAGCCACCAGCGCCCGGCCAACTCTGTGTTTCTTGATGGAATATCTTTATCGATATTTTTAAAGCACTGCTGAAGCTGTACTTCAAAAAATGGATGACATGAAGAAGATGCGTAGACAGCGAATGAGAGGACTTGAAGACTTGCGGGCATTTAATCAAGCCAAAGAAGTAAATATATTCTTTGAATAGGCAATAGTTTAATCTACTTGTTTTCTATAGTACATAATCTATTTGTGGTCAAATTATTCATCACTTTATCAGCATTTGTTTGATTAGTGACTAATTTCTACTAGAATTATGAGTTGCTATATTTCTATTTTAAGAAAATTTAGAGGTTCTTACTGAATTTTTAAAATTAATATATTGTAAATGTTAATGGATTTTTATGCAAATGTTTGTAGGACAATCTTAATATGTATACAAGAGGAAAACGGAAAGGTATTCAACGAGCTGGTATTCAACGAGCCGATGAGGAAACAACTGATAACCAGGAAGGCAGTGTAGGTTAGTCTTTTTTTCTTTCTCGTTCTGTTTTCTGTATTTTGAGTACTTTTTGTTTAGTAGGAAGTAGCCTTCTTACTCAGAAGCTATGACAGTGGTAGTAATTTGTGATTGTTAAAGTGATGGGCCATGATTTAAAAGAAATCAAGACAAGTGAGAGCTTTTAAAATGTTTTGAGAAAGTCCCCGGATTCAACAACTCAAAACCAAGTAATGTAGGTTAACTTGCATATATCTATGGTATCTATACATATGATAGGCAGTATTTTGTGTATTTTAGTTGAAATACAATTAAAGTTAAGTCTTGCTCCTCTGTTTAAGACTATTAACATAACCTATTTTTTCTCGAGAATCATGTTTTTTAATACATTTAAAAATGATCAAGAAAATGTTCACCATTATCATAAGTAGCTAATTTGACTTATGCTAAATGTAACTGTAACAGTCAGGAAGGCTACATGGAATTTCAAATGAGTTTTTTGTTGTGTTGTTTTTCCCTTGGTTGTAGGGCTTGAACTCAGCACTTAGGCATTGTCCCTGAGCTTTAATTCTGATTTTTTATTTATTTTTATTTTTGCTGGTTGTGGGGCCTGAACTCTAGGCCTGGGCACTGTTCCTCAGCTCTTCAGCTCAAGGCTAGCACTCTACCACTTGAGCCACAGCACCATTTCTGGCTTTTTCTGCTTATGTGGTGCTGAGGAATCGAACCCAGAGCCTCATGTATACAAGGCAAGCACTCTACCACTGAGCCACCTTTCCAGCTGAGTTTTAATTATGAAGGCTAGCACTCTGCCACTTTGAGCCATACTCCACTTCCAGTTTTCTGGTGATTAATTAGAGATAAAAGTGTCACAGACTTTTTCTGCCTGAGATAGCTTCACACATGATCCTCAGATCTCAGCCTCCAAGTAGCTAGGAATACAAGTGTGAGCCACTGTCACCCAGCTCAAATGAATTTTTATTTTTATTTTATTTTATTTTTTTTGCCGGTTGTGGGGGCCTGAACTCTGGGCCTGGGTGCTGTCCCTCGGCTCTTCAGCTCAAGGCTAGCGCTCTACCACTTGAGCCTTAGTGCCACTTCCGGCTTTTTCTGCTTATGTGGTGCTGAGGAATCGAACCCAGGGCCTCATGCATGCAAGGCAAGCGCTCTACCACTGAAGCCACCTTCCCAGCCCCATCAAATGAATTTTTAAGGACAACAGCTAAGTGAGGAGATTTTAAGATGTGTCCTTAGGTTAACTAATTTGGAACCTTTGTAGTTACTTATATTGCAACTCCGCAGCATCGTAAACTTTAATTCCTGCTTACTAGTAATAGCCTTCAAAGGTCATATGCGTACGTGTGTGTGTGTACGTACATATATATATATATATGTATATGTATATATATATATATGTATGTATATATATATATTGGTTGGTATCCTTTTGGAAGTGTTTAGTTTTGGCAGTTCTGGATTTTGAACTCAGGGCATTGTGCTTGTGAGAGACTAATGTTGAGCTATACCTCCAGACTGGATCTTGCTTCTTGCCACATGCCTGGAGCATTATCCACCTTTTGTATACTTTGCATCTAGCTAAGATGACATGTGCATTTCACTGAAGCTGGCTATCAATTAAGCAGAGGTCTTTTCCACCACTGGTTCAAACCAGGTGCCTCTTAATCTCTCAAGCTCTCACAGAGCTGCAAAATAGCAGTCTTATGCCACCTAGTTCAGCTATGGATTCACAAATCTCATGAACTTTTGTGGTCAAGCTGATCCTCCTAGCTCAGCCTCCCAAGCATCTAGGATTATAGGTGTGATGCATTTGTGTTTCTTAATTTTCAGAATCATCTGAAGAGGGTGAAGACCAAGAAGATGAAGATGATGGTGAAGATGAAGATGATGAAGAGGATGATGAAGATGGAGAAGAAGATAATCAGAAACGATATTATCTTAGACAGAGAAAAGCGACTGTGTACTACCAGGCTCCATTGGAAAGTAAGTACTTTAAGTTTTTTTTGTTGGTGAATTTTTGTATGTTAGCTTTATTTTTACTGTTCCCTTTTGTTTTGATTTTAATTTATTTTAGGTTTTCAGTTTGCTAGATATTTGTACTATTGTCTTAATCTGTCCTAAGACAGGTTTGCAAATAATGTTGCAAGAAGTTATTTCTTTCAGAGAACTAACCTTGAACTAAATAAATATTGACCTATTTTGAAGTATAATTTAGATTTACAGCCTTCTTCACTTTTTTTCTGGAATGCTTGGGTTTGAATGCAGGGCTTATGATTACTAGACTTCAGTCCCCCTGAACCATACTGCAGTTTCTTTCATGTTTTGCTTTTAGTTACTTTTGAGGTAGGGTGTTGGCTTTTTGCTCAGGGCTACTGTCAGAGTGAAAGTCCTCTACTTACAACCTGCATATTTGAGTTCACAGTTGTGTACCACCATACTATGCTTGTTGATATAGGTCTTGCTAACTTTTTTGCCCTGATTAACCTCAAACCTCAGTCCTCTCAAGTAGCTGTGATTATAGGTATGTCACTATGCCTAATGTCTCCTTGACTGCTTTTGTTAACATTATACCCGCCTTATCATGTGGGGTTGATAATCATTTATGTATATGTATTATCACAATTATTGTGCACAGTGTGTATTGGTTATTTGGTGTCTGTGCTGTTATATTTTCAGCTCTGATGACATAAATGATATGTGAACAGTAAACTATACTACAGTAGCTAGTAATTTTATGGAAAGCAGCACCTTTGTAAGTATTTAGACATATTTAGACAAACAGCAGTATTGGTTTCATATGTATTTACATATTTTGTGTGTGTTTTTATTATTTTAGAACCTCGTCACCAGAAAAAGCCCAACATATTTTATAGTGGCTCTGCGTCTCCTGCAAGACCAAGATACCGATTGTCTTCTTCAGGACCAAGAAGTCCTTATTGTAAACGAAAGAACAGGTTTGGTTCTGAAATGGTGATTATTTATGATAACATAACTATGGCTATATTAGAGCAGGATTCTAGAGTCTTTGGATTGAGAATGTTAGGTTAGAATTCTAGAATTTTGTCTTGGAGCTCTTCACTTTATCCCATTAGTATTCTAATCATTCTTTTTCTTTTTTCTCTCTTAATTTTCGCTTTCACTAATAAGGAAGTGTTAGTGACTACCTTGGTAAAGTAGTTTTTTTTTTTCCCCATTTTCCCAACTTGTATAGTTGACAGCATTTTACATAGATTGTTTGATTTTCGTCATTTTAACATTTAGTGTGTAGGTTGTTTTCACATGTTATCACAGACATATTTTTCTACCATATGAAATGTTCTAAGTTATTTAGGTTGTAGACTTTTTATGACTGAACATCTTTTTCTGGATCCATATTATAATTTTTTCTTGTATTTTAGGAGACATTTGTTCCTATAGGGAAAAGATGACACTGGTGCGGAAACTAGTACTTTTTTCAAGTCTTTTCTCAGAATAAATCTTAGGGGATTTCAACCATTTGAATAGTTCTGAGACTTTATATAATCAAACTGTTCATAGAAACTGTCTGGTTATGTTTGGTTGTGGAAATCAACTCCTTTCCAAATGCTGAAGATTCAGTTATTTTAGGAACGATAAAAATTACACTTGCAAGCTGGGTGCCATTGGCTCATGCCTGTAATCCTAGCTACTCAGGAGACTGAGATCTGGGGAATCACAGTTCAAAGCCACCCGTGCAGGAAAGTCTATGAAACTCTTATCTCCAATATACCACCAGAAAACCGGAAGTGATGCAGTGGTTCAAGTGCTAGTGCACTACTCTGGAGCTGAAGAGCTGAGGGAGAAAGTTCTGGTCCAGAGTTCAAGCCCCATGACCAACAACAACAACGAAAAAAACTTGTATTAATATGTCTTCTAATTTCCTTGCCAGAATCTCAAGTGTATGTTCGAAGTTTCTTTCTCAGTCATCTGTATTCACCTGACCAACACCCAGAAGGATGATCGTAAACCATCTGTCAGGGGTTCTTGAGATCAGTAACACAGTGTAGGAGGTCACGTTAGTATTTATTTATTTATTTTTGGCCAGTCCTGGGGCTTGAACTCAGGACCTGGTCACTGTCCCTGAGCTTCATTTGCTCAAGGCTAGCACTCTACCACTTGAGCCACAGTGCCACTTCTGGCGCCGAGGAATTGAACCCAGGGCTTCATGCATGTTAGACAACCACTCTACCATTAGGCCACATTCCCAGGCCGTGTTGTCAGTATCCTTATAAGCTCCTTTAGAATATTGTGACATACTTTATTTTGGAAGGGTGGGATATAGTGATTTTTTGAGAAGGAGAAGCTCTATTGCTGCCTAGAGTTTCTACTACTACCTTCAGTTTCAGGGCAGTAATCTTTAGAATTCCTGACTGAAAAGTCAGGCTTCTATTTATTTAATCCAGCAGAGAGAAAAGTGTAGCAATTACCTTGAGATTTAATTACTTCCAGTTTTCATGGACTTAACCTCTAGAAGTAATATTTGTTGATTTTCTATTTGTTCTTAACATCTACAGTGTGTTTTCCAGAAAATAGTATATTTAGGAGATAGAGGATTCTTTGGTGTTCATGGGTTTCCATATTTGTTTTCTCTGTCTAGACTTCCTGTGAAAAATACCTCATTTGTAGTAGCGTTCCTTGGTGCAGGAGGAATCTTGCACTTCCATTCAGCTGATGAGCTGAATGGATGTAAAAATGAAGAAGGCATATTTTTGCCTTTGATCTTATAAACTACTAGAGGATTCAGGCATTTAAATGGAAGTATTATTTAAGCAATTTAAGCTGTCCTTGATCATATTTGACTTGCTGATCTTTTTGTTATTGGTCTTTATGGCCTGTATAAACTTTGTGTATGATCACAGCTTTGTTGAGCTTTGCATGCCACACAATTTATTCATTTGAAGTGTATAGTTCATTAGTTTTTTCATTCACAGAATTGTGCATCTATCACCATAATCTATCTTTAAGAATATCATGATTGCTGAGCACTGGTGGCTCACTCAGGAGGCTGAGATTTGAGGTTCACAGTTCATAACCAGCCCGGGCAGGAAAGTCTGTGAGACTCTTTATCTCCAATAAAGCACTAGAAAACTGGAAGTGGCGCTGTGGCTCAAATGGTAGAACGCTTGCCTTGAGCTGAAGAGCTGAGGGACAGCGCCCAAGCCCAGAGTTCAAGCTCCACAACTGACAAAAAAAAAAAAAATCAGAATTATGAGAAGTCATTTATTAATCATTCCTTTTTTTTTTTTTTTTTTTTTTTTAGAAAAACATGAATAAGCCAGGCGCTGGTGGCTCACGCCTGTAATCCTAGCTACTCAGGAGGTTGAGATCTGATCTGAGGATCATGGTTCCAACCCAGCCCAGGCAGGAAAGTCCAAGAGACTTATCTCCAATAAATCACTAGGAAACTGGAAGTGGCACGGTGGCTCAAGCTGTATAGCTCTCACCTTGAGCTGAAGAGCATAGGGACAGTGACCAGGCCCTGAGTTTAAACCCCATGACCAACAAAAAAACCCATGAATGAACATGAGAACAGAACAAACAGACCAGACTAACTGGCACTTGCAGAGTAGGAAGTAGCTCTGGACTTATGGCTACTAATGGTTTTTCCTCATACTTAATGTGGGAGTTCTCTTGTTCACACTTGAGCTACATGTTTATTGTTGTTTGTTGTGGGGCTTGAATTCAAGGCTGGATTCTGTCCCTGAGCCTTTTTGAGTTCAAGGCTAGCACTCTGCCATTTGAGCCACAGCACCACTTCTGGGTTTTGAGTGGTTAATTGGAGATAAGGGTCTCACAGGGACTTTGCTGCCCAGGCTGGCTTCAAACCGCAATCCTCAGATCTCAGCCCCCTGAGTAGCTAGGATTATAGTCATGAGCCACCGGTGCCCAGTTAAGGGCTCCATAATTTTGTTACCTCTGACAAGGGAAAAGAAACTGGCAAGGATATATACCTACATAGAAGTTCCCATTCTATAAAACAGTACATGAGTACAAGATGTCTGACAACATTGTCACCCATTGCTCCTAACGAATCCCTTCTCTCACTTCTTTTTAAAAATTGAGATTAGGTGATTATGTAAATTTCACATATTTCACATGTTTCACAGTATTGTGGAATAGTGATACTTAAATGTCACAAACACATTTTAACCTTTACAAGGCAAATTATCATTATCATGGTCTATAAAGTTTGTGAATTCTATGAGCTTTGACAATATAAATTATTTCTTCCACATCAGGTGATGATTACATTCTTTCCTTTTGCTTAGCGTAGGGGTTCCCTCTTTCCCTCTCATTCTTCCCTTCCCATTGCTGTCATTCTTCTATGTTCAGTGCACCTGATGGTCCCCTTTGTTGTATGTTGTTCTGTTTCCCACTTACTCTGTTCCTCCTCCTAGCTTCCTTCTGTTGTGTGCATATATCTACCATATATATGGTCAAGAACATGGAATAATTTAGCAATGATACGACAAAGCGGGTTGCTGTCCTTTGTTTCTTGAGTCCTGTTTACTTTATCATATCTTCTTGGATTTTGGCTTTAGCATCCACATATCGGGGAGACCATGTGCCATTTTTCTCTTTGTTCTTGGCTTACTTTGCTCAAAACAATTTGCTCTAGTTCCATCCATTTCCCTGCAAATGCCATTATTTTGTCCTTTTTAGTGGCTGCATAATATTCCATTGTATATAGGTACCACAACTTTTGGATACACTCATCAGTAGTGGGGCATCTGGGTTGTTTCCAAATCTTGGCTATTGGGTCACAACAACTTTAAGGCTATCTGAAGTTAATATTTGGAACCCTTAGAAATAATATTTAAGGGCCTGGAATGTGGCTTAGTGGTAGAGTGCTTGCCTAGCATGCATGAAGCCCTGGGTGTGATTCCTTAGTACTACATAAACAGAAAAGGTGGTGCCAGAAGGGGCACTGTGGCAGAGTGCTAGCCTTGAGCAAAAAGGAGCTCAGGGACAAAGCCAGGTCCTGAGTTCAAGGCCAGGACTGGCAAATATGTGTGTGTGTACATATCTATATCTATATATATTCTAATGTACATATATATTCTTACATTTACAGTGTTAGTGAACGAGTTGTGAATTTACAGTTGAGGACATAAAAGGTCATCTTACTCTTTACAGTTTGCTAAAAAAAAATTTTGTTTTTTGGCTGTGCTGCGGATTGAACCCAGAGCCTCATAGATATTAGGCAAGTGCTTTACCACTGAGCTGTACTCCTAGCCTATCAGCTTTTTTTTTGTTGTTGATTGTAGGGCTTGAACTCTGGGCCTGAGTGTTGTCCCTCAGCTCTTCAGCTCAAGGCTAGGGCTGTACCACTTGGGCCATAGCACGACTTGCGGTTTTCTGGTGGTTAGTTGGAAATCAGAGTCTCACAGACTTTCCTGCCCAGGCTGGATTGTTACTGCGATCCTCAGCTCTCAGCCTCCTGAGTAGCAAGGATTACAGGCATGAATCACTAGAACCTCGCTTCCCATCAGCATTTTTTAACCTTCCTAATACATTAAACCAAACACAAAACAAACTCACCTTTTAAAATTAACATTTCAACATTGATGATTTGCTCCCTAATGTGAAATTATATATAGCATAAAGAAAAAAAATATTGTTTCAAGTTGTAACTGTAAACATCCTAATACTTCTCTTTCTTTTTGAGAATAAATGGTTTATATCAAGACTACGCAATCACTTGGGTAAGGCACCTTTTTTTTTTTTTTTTGGTCTTTTCTTTTTTGGTACTGGGGATTGAACCCAGGACGTTGCACTTGCTAGGCAAGCGCATTGCCACTGAGCTACATCCCAGCCCTTGGGTGAGGCACCTCTTATGAAAATTTCTTCCTCTTTTTTTTTGGGGGGGGGAGGCGGGGGTCCAGTCATGGGGCCTGAACTCTGGGCCTGGGCGCTGTCCCTCAGCTCTTCAGCTCAAGGCTAGCGCTCTACCACTTGAGCCACAGTGCCACTTCCAGCTTTTTTCTTTTTGCTTATGTGCTGAGGAATCAAACCAGGGCCTCATGCATGCAAGGCAAGCACTCTACCACTGAGCCACCTTCCCAGCCCCGGCTTTTTTCTTATGTGGTGCTGAGGAATCGAACCCACGGCCTCAGGCATGCAAGGCAAGCAGTCTACCACTGAGCCACCTTCCCAGACAGCCCCTTAATGAACATTTTATGGTCAGCTTTACCATCCTGCCTTTCTGTCCTTTCTTCTTAGCTATATCTTTTATTTATTATCTTCAAAGGATTCATCCAGCAAAGCTTTGTTCAGTTCAGTGAATATACTAAATTTTATGGTGAGCCTTTTTGGGTGGTTTTGTGTTATGCTTTTTTTTCCCATGCCCTCACCATTATTTCAATTTCCCTTTCCTTTAGGCGAAGGCATGCCATACACAGTAGTGACTCCACTTCATCTTCCTCTTCTGAAGATGAGCAACAATTTGAGAGACGAAGAAAAAGAAGCCGTAATAGAGCTATCAATAGGTAACTGCCATATTGATGATTTTTTTAAACTACTAGTGGGTTTTTTTTAAGGTTTGAGAGATGTTGAACAAATAGAAAGCAACTTTAGGGCTAGGAATGTAGCTTAGTGGTAGAGTGCTTGCGTAGCATGCATGAAGTACTTCAATTCCTCAGTAACACATAAACAGAAACAGCCAGGCACTGTGGCTCAAGTGGTAGAATGCTAACCTTGAGCAAAAGAAGCTCAGAGACAATGCCCAGGTCCTGAGTTGAAGACCCAGGACTGGCAAAATAAAATAAATCAGAAAGCAACTTTCATTTTTTCACTTACAAAAAGAGTAAGCTAGTCTAGGAAACTAGTTATATATTCTTTATTGAGAAGATAGTTGTAGATAAGAACTCTGGTAGATGAAATAGTTTGCTAAGAAGTATTATAAGACGAGAATTTAATAACTTAAAACATGTGAAACACCTTCAGCACACCATCTGACAGATGGTAAATACTGTGTGAGATATGACCATTCTAATGTATATTGGTATTGTCTGAATTACTTTATGATTCTTTGGCATGTTAAGTATTTTCATTTGGTTGTATATATTTAATAGTAGAGCTTTGGGTTTAAATACTTAAGTTTCATGCTTATGAAGAAAATAAGGGGGGCTGGGAATGAGACTTAGTGGTAGAGTGCTTACCTAATATACTTGAAGCCCTGGGTTCTATTCCTCAGTACCACATATACAGAAAAAGCCGGAGGTGGTGCTGTGGCTCAAGTGATAGACTGCTAATCTTGAGCAAAAAAAGCTCAAGGACAATGCTCAAACCCAGAATTCAAGCCCTAGTACTGGCAAAAGAAAACAAGGAAATTGAAATACATAATCTCAAAATTGTTCTAGTCAAGGTTAAATGTTTTCTAATTAGAAAAATAATTTAACATGGAATTTGGGGAGGAAGGCAAGTTAATAGGGTTTGAACTCAGGACATCACGCTTGCTTGGCTTGTTCATTCAGCCAGCACTAGCACTTGAGCTATCCCTCCAGCCTGGCTTTTTGCTGGTTTTGAAGATAGAGTATCAGACTTTTCTCCCTAGACTGGCTTCTAGCCATGATCCTCTAGATCTCAGCCTCTTGAGTAGCTAGGATTATATACATGACCCACTGGCACCATCTTAATGCATAAAAAATTAGATCTGTCACCAAGAAGTTTAACCTTCCTTTCCATTTCTGGTAAGTTTCTGTGAATTACAAAAGAGCAATTTTAGTATTTGTGAAGTGTTATTCCAGACAGGGTAACTGTTTGTAAATTTTTTTTTAACTAAATGCCTCCCACTAAATTGTAAAATATTTTTAAATAGATGCCTCCCACTAAATTTTCGGAAAGATGAAGTAAGAGGAATTTATAAAGATCGAATGAAAATTGGAGCAAGCCTTGCTGATGTCGATCCAATGCAACTGGATTCTTCAGTGAGTAGGACTTTTTGTTTCATTTTAGCTTTAAAGTTAAAAAAGCCAAATGGTTTTTCTTATCAGAAACTTTCTGCATAAATTTTTAAAAAATCTTGGGGCCACAACTAAGAAACTGTCAATTCATTATGTATGAGTTGGTATATTTAAAAACAGGATAGTACTTGAATTTTGACTCTAAAATCTAAAATTGTCAATGTTTTCTTCTATTACCAGGTACGATTTGATAGTGTTGGTGGCCTGTCTAACCATATTGCAGCTCTAAAAGAGATGGTAGTGTTTCCATTACTCTATCCAGAAGTCTTTGAAAAATTCAAAATTCAACCCCCAAGGTAATCCAGTTATCTTTTTAATTTTAGCCATAATCTGTGCACTGCTATTGTGCTGTGGATGTTCTTACACCTTCACTCATTAGTTTTGGATATATGTGAAAGTATGCCAGTACTGGAGCTTGAACTCAGTACCTGGACTCTGCCCCTTAGCTGGTCTTTGCTGGTCTTGGGGCTAGAACTCAGGGCCTGGGTGCTGTCCTTTGGTGTTCAAGGCTAGTGCTCTACCACTTGAGCCATAGCACCACTTTGGGCGATTTCTGAGAAGCTTATTGGCAATGAGAGTCTCACAGATTTTCATGCCCTGGCTGGCTTTGAACTGCGATCCTTAGATCTCAGCATCCTGAGTAGCTAGGATTACAGGCATGAGCCAATGGCTCCTGACTTAGCTTTTTATTCAAGTCTGCATTCTATACCACTTGAGTCACACCTCTATTCCAGCTTTTGCTGGTTATTGGGAGGTGAGAATCTCACAAACTTTTCTTCCTAATCTGGCTTTGAACCATAATCTTGTGGTCTCAGCCTCCTGAGTAGCTAGGATTACAGATGTGAGTGACGCCTCACTTGGTTGTATATATTTTAACTGAAATGTGTAACATTATTTTACAGAGGTTGCCTGTTTTATGGTCCACCCGGAACTGGAAAAACTCTGGTTGCTAGAGCACTTGCCAATGAATGCAGTCAAGGGGATAAAAGAGTCGCATTTTTCATGAGGAAAGGAGCTGACTGTCTAAGTAAATGGGTAGGGGAGTCTGAAAGACAACTACGATTGCTATTTGATCAGGTATGATGTTCTGTAATCTGTGTACATGTAAGTGTAAGGATTAGATAACATTTTCATTTTGTCACTTTTTGTAGAAATAAATTGAAAAATTACGCCATACACATAGTCTTTCCAAATTATTCTCTTATTTGTCAAGATAATACTTGCAAAACAGTGAACAGCTTGATAGTAAGGTGGAAAAAGAATAATGAATCCGTGTTTTTTAGTCTTAGGTCTCTTATCTAGTTGAGAGTAGTCTCTTAGTGAATTATGTCTCAACCTGGAGATGTAATTCTGATTTACTGAATGTAGTTCTGCCTTACACAGGCTTTCAGTTTCACATCCAGATTGTATTGACAGCATATTATGAAATAATACATTCTGCTCTGTTGTAACACTCTTGCTGAAAATGTCTTTAAAGCTGTTTTAAGATCTCTCTGAGGTTCCTATTATTTTGTCTTTACCAGAGTAGATGGCGAGGGAAACCCAAAAGTATAGCATCTGGATAAGAAATGGTTTTCCATTCTGATATAAAGAAACTATGTCACTGTTGTCTAGTCTCTGTCTCTAACTCTTTACTAGATATTTTTATATGTGTCCTAGTAATTAGCAAGATAAAATCTAAAGTATATAACCAATGGGGTATGGGCTTTGGGAGTGTCTAGTTAAAAATGCAAAGAAAGGGCTGGGAAGGTGGCTCAGTGGTAGAGCGCTTGCCTTGCATGCTCAAGACCCTGGGTTCGATTCCTCAGCACCACATAAGCAAGAAGAAAAAACCAGAAGTGGCGCTGTGGCTCAAGTGGTAGAGCGCTAGCCTTGAGCTGAAGAGCTGAGGGACAGCACCCAGTGCCAGAGTTCAGGCCCCACGACCGGACCCCAAAAAAAAAATGCAAAGAAAGCTGGGTGCTCGTGGCTCGTGCCTGTAAATCCTAGCTACTCAGGAGACTGAGATCTGGGGATTGCAGTTCAAAGCCAACCTGGGCAGGAAAGGTCCGTGAGACTTTTTATCTCCAGAAGTGCACTGTGGCTCAAGTGGTAGAGTACTCGCCTTGAACTGAAGAGCTCAGGGACAGCACCCAGGCCCTGAGTTCAAGCCCCATGATCAACCCCCCCGCAAAAAAAAAAATTCAAAGAAAAAACATTGTTATTGTAATTTATTATAAGTCCTGAAAACACATTTCCTGGAATTTAGGTTTAAATTTGTAAGTTGTAAAAATTTTATGAGTGAGCTCCTGGTGAGTAAGTTTAAATGAAAGTAGATTGCAGTGGTATATATACAGATTTATAAATTATGTTTGACTGAACTGGATTAAACTGGTTTGTGTTAATGTGACATCCTTGAATCTTTATGATAACATGTGACCATTGGACCTGCTTTCTAGGCCTATCAAATGCGCCCATCAATTATTTTCTTCGATGAAATAGATGGCCTGGCTCCAGTGCGGTCAAGCAGGCAAGATCAGATTCACAGGTAATACTTCATTGCCATCTTAAATATTTGTGTTATTAATAATAATTTTCCCTTTTAGTAATAAAACCCTAAAATAATCATAGCAAAAGTGGACCTGTTCTGAGAATTGGTATGTTCTAAGACAAGTTTTTAAATGCTGGTTACAAAAGACTTCTTAATGGAACAAATGAATACCCACAAACTAGTTGAGGTCTGACATAGAAAATGAGTGAGCCAGGACAGTGGTGAGAATACAGCTGTGGTGAGGAATGTGGCTGTGTCCTGTAGCCAGAGCACAGCCAGTTATTTCTAGCTCCAGCCTTTTCTTGATGTACAGAAAATAAAACTTGAGAAATAGTATAAAATTGAGAAAGAAAGTCTATTTGTTTTGTTACCAGAATTTAGGACTTTTCATTCTCATTCATCTTTTTACTCAAAGCCAGTTCTCTGTCTACCACTTGAACCATACCTGGTTCTGGCTTTTTTGCTGGTTAATTGGCGAATCTTGAGGACTTTTCTACCCAGGCTGGTTTTGAACCACAGTCCTCAGATCTCAGCCACCTGGGTAAGCTAGGAATATAAATATAAGCCACCAGTCGCCAGCCTGTGCTCAATTATTTTTTTTGGCTTTAGTCAATTTTTAGATAGGACCTTGCACTTTAGCTTGGAATTTGCCTGGAACCTCAATTCTCCTACCTATGCTTCCTAGTTGGTTGAAATGGGTTCTTGCTTTTTGCCCTGGTGTACTCAAACTACAATACAAATCTCTGGTACATATTACTGAATGATATGTTGATATATTTATCATACTACTGAATGATATAGTCCATGCTCACAGTACTAATCTCTTTTTTTTACTTTTAGTTCCATTGTTTCTACCCTGTTAGCTCTCATGGATGGTTTGGACAGCAGAGGAGAAGTTGTGGTCATTGGTGCTACCAACAGACTAGATTCCATAGACCCTGCTTTACGGAGGCCTGGACGTTTTGACAGAGAATTTCTTTTTAACCTCCCTGATAAAGATGTAAGAATTAGCAGCATTCACATTTTGATTATGTTGCTTTGTATCTTTAATAAGTCAGTAACAATGAAATTTTGAAAATCCTTAACTCAAATGGTGTTGATTGTTTATTTTCTTCAAGTATAATGCCCTCCAAATTACTCAAAATTAATTTAAAAAGATTAATTGTATTTATTTTTTTTATGTGGTACCAAGGAATTGAACCCAGGACCTCATGCATGCTAGACAAGCATTCTACCACCAAGTCACATTCCTAGCTCCTCTTAAAATTAACTTAAGGACAGCTTTGCTGTGTTGTTGGTTTTGCTTCCATGACTAATGAACTACTGCCATTTTGTCAGCCTTGGCATTTTCCTGAAAATTGTCATATAATTATAATTCTAACAAGTTACATTAAAGCAGTGTAAAGTTTTGAGAACCTTGGAAGAAAATTTGGGTTGAGCTGTCAATACTCCTTCATAATTGTTACTGTGATCTAGAATGAACAATATTTCAGTAGTAATTTTTTGTTTTTATTTATGATTAATATAATTTGGGTGCTGTAAGCACAAACCTGTTTAAAAGGGAAACTGATTTTTTAAAATTCTTAAATATGTCTTGTTTTCTCAATGTTATCATGTCACTCTTCTGTTTATGTTGGCATTAAAATGTTTAGATAATTTAAATTAGTTAAGTTGAAATTACTGTAATTTGAGTAATACCTTACTATTAGGTCCAAAAACTTAAAAAATTGTCTTTATTCATAGGCTCGGAAAGAGATTCTAAAGATTCACACAAGGGATTGGAATCCCAGACCACTGGACATGTTTCTAGAAGAATTAGCAGAAAACTGTGTTGGTAAACAATTGTTTTATGTAGTTAAATGTTGTATTCCTTTCAAGGATAGAACAAGTTTTAGTCTTGCAAAGTTATGTTTAAGAAAATACAATATTACCTAGACATTGTGACATGTAAGCCCATCACTTGGCAGACAAGGCAGGAGGATCACAAGTTCAGGGCCAGCCTGTATGACATAGTGAGACTTTGTTTCAAAGAAACAGATAATCAGGTGTCAGTGGCTCATGCCTGTAATCTTAGCTACTTAATTGGTTGAAATCTGAGGGTGGCAGTTTGAAGCCAGTCTGGATAGACAAATTAACCAGCAAAAAGTTGGACCTAGAGGGGTGGCTCAGAGTGTGCGGCTTTGAAGTTATGTTCCAGTACTGTCACACACAAAAACTTGATATAAGATCATGTTTGTTTCCTACCTCTTTATTTGTGGCATTTCTTTATCACCAAAGTGTGGATGTTGAATACATATTTTGCTTGACATTGGCCATTGGGGAAATTAAAGAGCAATATTGACAGTAATAGTAACCACCCTTTACTGACCAATTATATTTCTAAGTTACCTGAAATTTCCTATATGATTTCATGCAGTTTTCACAGTAGTTCTGTGAATTAGCATGATTTTCAGGTGAAAGAACACATACAACTTCCTCAAAGATCACATAGTAAATGACAAACTAGAAGATGGACTTAGTCTAATATGAAAAAAAAGTAGCTTTTAATTATGCCTTTCTTCATGCTTGCATATTTCACTCAAGTTGATTAATTTGATGCTGGCTTCTTGAGTAAAGAGACATTTCCCTCTTCTTACTCCTAAATATTTTGTTACTAAATAGCTAAGTTGAATTTTAATTCTCTTTAAACCATCACTGTGTTGAGTTTTTTAGTTTATTGACTTTTGTTTTTGTTTCCTGGATGCTTTGGACAGGATACTGTGGTGCAGATATTAAGTCAATATGTGCTGAAGCTGCTTTATGTGCTCTTCGTCGACGCTACCCACAGATCTATACCACTAGTGAGAAGCTACAGTTGGACCTCTCTTCAATTAATATCTCAGCTAAGGATTTTGAGGTGGCCATGCAAAAAATGATACCAGCCTCCCAGAGAGCTGTGACATCACCGGGGCAGGCTTTGTCTGCCATCGTGAAACCTCTCCTGCACAGTACTGTCCACAAGATCTTAGAGGCCCTACAGAGAGTATTTCCACATGCAAAAATTGGAGCAAATAAAACATTAGACTCAGGTATAAACTGGGGCTCATCACTAGAAGTTAATTTGCATAAACAGTAAATCTAATTTTTTGTTTTTGTCGGTTATGGGGCTTGTACTCTAGGCCTGGGCACTGTCCCTCAGCTCTTCAGCTCAAGGTGAGCACTCTATGACTTGAGCCACAGAGCCACTTTGGTTTTCTGGTTGTTTATTGGAGATAAGAATCTGGGGCTTTCCTGCCCCAGCTGGCTTTGAACCAAGATCCTCAGATCTCTCAGCCTCCTGAGTAGCTAGGATTACAGGTGTGAGCCACCAGTGCCCGGCCTAATTTTTTTTATACTTTCTCTTTTCAGAGAAACATTTAATTAACCCTTGTTAATTAAACATTAATATTTGTTTATGACTGAACAAAACAAGGTTATATTTATGTGAGACCTTTGATGGGAATTTATTTTACACTTGGTATTTCAGGTTTGGGATGCACTTTTATTGTATTTACTTGATAATTGAAACTACAAATTTTTTTTCCCCCCTTGGTCAGTCTTGGGGTTTGAACTCTGGGCCTGGGTGCTGTCCCTCAGCTCTTTAGCTCAAGGCTAGCTCTCTACCACTTGACCATAGTGCCACTTCCAGTTTTCTGATGGTTTATTGGAGATAGTAGTCTCACAGACTTTCCTACCTGGGCTGGCTTTGAATTGTGCTTCTCAGATCTCAGCCTCCGGAGTAGCTAGGATTACAGGCATGAGCCAACGGCACCCGGCTACACAAGTATTTTTGATTCTTAAAGATGTTTCAGTGAAATACTTGCTGATACGTATAATGAAAAGTTACAAACATGGTTTTCCGTTCTATAGGTGTTTCTTGTCCATTGCTAGAAAGTGATTTGGCATACAGCGATGATGATGTTCCATCAGTATATGAAAATGGACTTTCTCAAAAATCCTATAAGGCCAAAGACAATTTTAATTTTCTTCATTTGAATAGGTATGTTTTTTGTGGAAATGGGTATTTTAGTGTGTGAATTCACTAAAATAAGTGAGATTTGATTGACAAGGTTAAGGTACTTAACCAGTTTGTTTTTTATTTAAAAGATCAGAAATGTGTTGTTTCAGTTGTCCCTATATAAAAGTAATTCTAAAAATCCATGGAGACAATTGTTACCAGAAACTATTGAAAGGTGTTATCATGACTGGCTTATTATACAGTTAAGACTTAGGAAGATTTATAATTGGTTAGTGAAAACATTTAAACTGATATTCTAAGACATAGCCTATTATTCTTTCAGAAATGCCTGCTACCAACCTATGTCTTTTCGTCCAAGAATGCTGATAGTGGGGGAACCAGGATTTGGGCAGGGTTCACACTTGGCACCAGCTGTCATCCATGCTTTGGAAAAATTTACTGTATATACATTAGACATTCCTGTTCTTTTTGGAGTCAGTGCCATATCTCCTGAAGAAACATGTGCCCAAGTAAGTTTGTAGTTGGTTACATAAGCCATAAGTCTTCCCAGAGACAAAAGTCTTCAATTACATTACTCTTTGCATTATCTTATTAAAGGATTTCTGAATTGGTTGACAAGGTTAAAAGTTAATTATGCATAATAACTATGCATAATTCTGCCTCAAAAAAGAACTATTCATAAATGCTAAGTCATTAAAGAGTATAGGTTTAAGCCCTATGCTTAGTATCTATGACCTTAAGGAAGTTACTAAATTGCTGTGTCTCATTTTCCTCATTTGCAAATGAAGATAATTAAGTGAGTAAAGTACTTTAAGCAAGGACTGTTCTTTATTGAGTACTAAGATGTTTTGTAGTTCTACTGTTGCTGAATTTATACTTAACTATTTTTTGTTGTTGTCGGTCATGAGTTTTCATGAGTTTGAGCTCAAGACCTGGGCGCTGTCCCTGAGCTCCTTTGCTCAAAGCCTAGTGCTCTACAACTTAGAGCCATAGTGCCACTTCCAGTTTTTGAGAGGTTAAGTGGAGATAGAGTCTTCCCAGACTTTTCTGCCCAGGCTGTCTTTGAACCTCGATCCCAGATCTCAGCCTCCTGAGTAGCTAGGATTATAGGAACGAGACACCAGTGTCTGACTCTTAATTTCTTTTTTTTCTTGTCAGTTGTGTGGCTTGAACTCTGGGTCTGGGCACTGTCCCTGCACTCTTCAGCTCAAGGCGAGCACTCTACTGCTTGAACCACAGCGCCACTTCTGGTTTTCTACTGGTTTATTGGAGATAAAGTCTCATGTATTTTCCTGCCTGGGCTGGCTTTGAACTGTGATCCTCAGATCTCAGCCTCCTGAGTAGCTAGGATTATAGGCATGAGCTATTGGCGCCCAGCTTAATTTCTTTTTATATAAACTTTTTTTTTTTTTTGGTCGATCATGAGGCTTGAACTCTTGGCCTGGGCACTGTCCCTCAGCTCTTCAGCTCAAGGAGTACTCTTCTACTTGAGCCACAGCATCACTTGCGGTTTTCTGGTAGTTTATTGGAGATAAGAGTTTCACGGACTTTCCTGCCCTGGCTGGCTTTGAACAGCGATCCTGAGATCTCAGCCTCCTGAATAGCTAGGATTACAGGTGTGAGCCACTAGCACCCGGCTTTTTAATAAACTTAAAAAAGTATTTGTTTAACTACAGTGGAATAGTCTCTTATATTTCTTAAGCTATTTTCTAGCTGCTTGAAGCAGTTGTTTTTCCAAAAATGAATTTAACTAAATACTTAGCAAGTTTATAGAGCTGGGAAGGTGGCTTAGCAGTAGAGTGTTTGCCTACCGTGCATGAAGCCCTGGGTTCAATTTCTCAGTACCACATAAACAGAAAAAGCCAGAAATGGTGCTGTGACTCAAGTGGTAGAATACTAGCCCTGAGCAAAAGGAGCTCAGGGACAGTGCCTAGGCCCTGAGTTCAAGGCCCAGGACTGGCAAAAACAAAAAACAAGCTTATAGGATTTAGGGGAAGAATTGTTTAAAAACTTAAAGGGTTTCATATGATAATTGTAGAAAGTTAAAACTTTTTTCAGACTACTAATACCAATGTACTGATGTGTTTTTCTTGTACTTTTTATAGATGATTCGTGAAGCGAAGAGAACAGCACCAAGTATAGTGTACATTCCACACATCCATTTGTGGTGGGATATAGTTGGACTAACTCTCAAAGCCACATTTACTGCATTATTACAGAATATTCCTTCATTTGCCCCAGTTTTACTACTTGCAACTTCTGACAAACCCCATTCTGCTCTGCCAGAAGAGGTAATTTGTGGGGGAGGAAGAATTATTGTCCTTTGAAAAGAGTTATTAAGGCCATGAGTGGTAGTATACAACTATAATCCCAGCACTTGGGAGTCAAGGGCTAGAAAATTATAAATCTGAAGTCATCTCTAGCTGCATAGTGAATTCTAATCCTGCTTAAGGTACATGATGAAACCTGTCTCAAAAAGTCAAGAATAGAAAAAAATTATTTGTATCTAAGTAATTTACTTTAAAATTTATAAGCAAGAAGTGAGCAAAATGATAAATACAATGCTCCCTCCCCCCTTCGCCCCCATCCCTCCTCCCCCACCCCCCCATGCCAGCACTGGGGCTCAAACTCAGGGTCTCATTCTCGCTCAGCCTGTTTTACTTACAGTTGGTACTCTACCACTTGAGACACTGTCCAGTTCTAGCTTTTTGCTGGTTTATTGGAGATAGTTTCTCAGGGGGGGGAAAAGTTTCTCAGATTTATCTGCCCAAGCTGGCTTTGAACCATAATCCTCAGACTTCAGTTTCCTGAGTAGCTGGAATTACAGATGTGAGCTGCCAGCAGGACTGGCAGGAAAACATTTTCTTAACAGTATACTATTGTTAATTATTTGGCCTATGTGCTTATAAGGTGAGATGTAGGTGTATAGTAAGGAAAATTTATGAATTGTTTCATGAAAAGATATTATTTAATGTATACTGTTCTGCTTTGTTTGCTTATCCGTCTGTCTTCTGGCTGTGTATATAACTTGGTGATGGACCACATGCTTTTAAGTACTGAATGCCTCTTTCATTGTCTTGAGGTATTATAATTTATCAAGCCACAACCTTATTGATAGATTTTGGCTGTTTTCCATATTTTTTTCTGAGCTACTATAGTGAGCATTCTTGTTAATTTTTTGTTTTTTAATATTATTTTATAGTAAAGTTGCTGTATAGAGAGGTTACAGTTACATGAGTAAGTTAATGAGTACATTTCTCGTCAAACAGTATTACCCCCTCCTTTGTTTTTCTCCTATCTCTTCCCTCCACCATCTCCCCCATTCTGCCCCCCCCCCCAGAAGTTGTAAAGTTCATTTCCAACATAGTGTCTCGTGAGTATCATTGTTGCAATAGGTCATCCAGTCCTGGGGCTTGAACTCAGGGCCTGAGCACTATCCTAAGCTTCATTTGCTCAAGGCTAGCACTCTACCACTTGAGCCACAGTGCCACTTCCAGCGTTTTGTTTGAGGAGTCAATCCCAGGGTTTCATGAATGCTAGCCAAGCACTCTACACTAAGCCACATTCTCAGCTAACATCTTTGTTTTTTTTTACATCTTTGTTTTTTAATAAACTTTATTTCATGTTTTTTAGCTTTAAGCTGATGGAAGAGTATACACTTTCCCAGTCAGCAGGAAAGTGCGTGAGACCTTGTAAGGTCCGCTCCTAGATGGTGAGCAGACTCCACCCTCCTCACAGAGGAAAAAAAAAAAGAGTATACACTTTCCTTTTCCTTTTTTCCTTTTTTTTTTTTTTTTGGTGGGGGAGGATAACTGGTTCTGGTTGAACTCAGGACCTGGACACTCTGTCCCTGAGCTTTTATGCTCAAGGCTAGCACTGTACCACTTCAGCCACAGCTCCATTTCTTGCTTTTGGGTGGCTAGTTGGAGGTAAGTCTCAAACTTTTCTACCCTGGCTGGCTTCAAGCCATAATCCTCAAATCTCAGCCTCCTGAGTAGCTAGGATTACAGGCATAAGTCATTGGTGTCCAGTTTGCATTTACAATTTTAATACACTCAAGTACTTATACAGTATAAAAGCTACTGACAATAAGAAAACATTCATGCTTTTTCTGGCTAGGATACTCTTCTTGCTTGATCTTGGTCTTTCTTGATCTCCCTTTCTTAGTTACAACAACAGATTTTGTACCCATTGCTTTGTTTTCCAGTCCCTGACATTTTTGTTCACTATCTACCATTTGTTATTAATCTGTCTTAGTAGATTGCACAGTTTATGAAGTCATGAACTTGTATATGTACAGAGGAGTATATAGTAGCCAATTCATAGACTTCTGTGTGGTTTTTTATGATAGTTTCCTCTTGTCTTCATTTTAATTAATTTTTTTAAAGATACAGTTTTGCTATGTCATTTAAGCCAGCCCAACCCCAATCTCCTGAGCTTGAGCCCATCTACCTCAGCCTCCCAAATAGCTAGATCTACAAGCACATGCTATTCTCAGCTTGCATATTTTCTTTTTTTTCTTTTTGTCAGTCATGGGGCTTGTACTCTGGGCCTAGGCACTGTCCCTCAGCTCTTCAGCTCAAGGCTAGCACTCTATCACTTGAGCTACAGCGCCACTTCTGGTTTCCTGGTGGTTTTCTTGGAGATAAGAGTCTCGCGGTCTTTCCTGCCTGGGCTGGCTTTGAACGGTGATCCTCAGATCTTAGCCTCCTAAGTAGCTAGGATTACAGGCATGAGCCACCAGTGCCTGGTTATATTTTCTTTTTTTGGCGGGGGGGTCCGGTTGTGGGGACTGAACTCTGGGCCTGGGCACTGTCCCTCAGCTCTTCAGCTCAAGGCTAGCGCTCTACCACTTGAGCCACAGCGCCACTTCCAGCTTTTTTCTTTTTGCTTATGTGGTGCTGAGGAATCGAACTCAGTGCCTCATGCATGCAAGGCAAGCACTCTACCACTGAGCCACCTTCCCAGCCCCTATATTTTCTTCTTTTTTTTTTTTTTTTTTGTCGGTCGTGGGACTTGAACTCTGGACTTGGGCGCTGTCCCTCAGCTCTTCAGCTCAAGGCAAGCGCTCTACTACTTGAGCTATAGCGCCACTTCCGGTTTTCTGGTGGTTTATTGGAAATAGGAGTCTCACATTCTCTCCTGCCCGGGCTGGCTTTGAACCTCGATCCTCAGATCTCAGCCTCCTGAGTAGCTAGGATTACAGGCGTGAGCCACCAGCGCCCGGCTGCCCCTATATTTTCTTTTAAAGAATTAAATGAATAGTTTTTTTTTTCATATCAACAAAATTGGTTTGCAATTTTAGAACATTAGTAGAAAGATTCAGACACTAGTTAAAGAAATATGTTTTTAGTACTCTTAAGCATGGTTATAGGCACTGAGATTGTAATAGTAAATAATATACAAAAACTATACTCCTTACTTTAAGAGAGAGAAAGAAACGTATTAAAAATTACTTGTGCTGGACTCCTGTGGCTTAGATTTCAGCCTCCTGAGTAGCTAGGATCATGGTTCAGAGCTAGCCCAAGAAGGCAAGTCCATGAGACTTACCTCCAGTTAATTACCAGAAAACTGGAAGTGGTGTTATGACTCAAAAAAGTGCTAGAGTGCTAGCTTTGAGTGAAAGAGCTCAGGGACAATGTCCAGGCCTCAAGTTTAAGCCCCATGACCGACCAAAAATAAATACTTGTTATGGGGGAAAACTTTGCTATGAACTTTTACAACAAACTAGGTAAAATCAGTGTTAAATAGAATAACTATGGTCTTGATAAGATAATCTCTGAACACACAAAAAAAATGAAAAACAGTCTGGGCACTAAAGGCTCATATCTATATTCCCAGCTTCTCAAGAGGCTAAGATCTGAGATCAAGGTTCAGAACAAAACAAAATAGTCCCAAGAGATTCAAGTGGTAGAGTACCACCCATAAAGAAAACATCAAGTGACAGGTTGAGGCCCAGAGTTAAGCCACAGTACTGACACAGGAAAAAATAGGACCTGAAGGTCTGGGAAGGTGGCTCAGTGGTAGAGTGCTTGCGTCACATGTATGAGGCCCTGGGTTCAACTCCTTAGCACCACATAAACAGAAAAGGCTGGAAGTGTCGCTGTGGCTCAAGTGGTAGAGTGCTAGCCATGAGCTGAAGTGCTTAGGGACAGCACCCAGGCCCAGAGTTCAAGCCCCACAACCGACCAGAAAAAAAATGACCTGAAAAAGTAAGATGGAAGAAAGTCCCTGGCTAGAGGCCCTGAGGCAGTACTGGATCTGCAAGAAGGCCAGAGTTGCTAATATAGAGTATGTAAGAAAGGCAGGGTAAGAGGCCAGGGAGTTATCAAGGGACCAGATGATGTCTCTGGCTTTGTTTAAATAATTGATAGTGAAACCTGAAAGTTTAATAAGCAAGGAGAGATGATCACTGAGTATATATATTATAGCCTCTGAGTGGAGTGGATAAGTTTCTGGTCTAATTATCTAGTTCTTTAAAAAAGAAATGTACAAAGGTGACCAGATTAACTCCCTCTCTTGCTTTCCCCCTCATTTGTTAAAATAGTGGGTTATATTATGCCATCTTCGTATATAAGACACGTGTTCTTCAGTAGTATTCATTACCCATTATTCTCTCTGTCTCCTCTTCCTTTGTTATCTTCCTTCATACACTCCTAGGAATACATATAGGTTAGGCTTAATTGTACACATGAAAGAAAATATGTGATAATTGTCTTCCCAAACCTAGCTGATTTTGCTTAACATCTCCAAATATATCCATTTTCATACAGATGAAATAATTTCATTCTTTATGGCTGAAAAAAAACTCCATTATTTCTGTGTACCATATGTTCTTTTTCAATTCATCAGTTGGGCACTTTGACTGATTCCATAACACTGCAGTAAACAGAATGTATCTTACATTCCTTCAGATACATGTCCAAGAGTGGTGTTACTAGATCATATGGTAGGTAGGTCTGTTTTTAAGGAACTGCCAGACTGGTTTCAATAGTGTTTGCAGTAGTTTGTACTACTACTACCCACAGTGTACAAGGATTTCTTCCCCCAAAACCCTTGTTAACAACTTTTGAGTTTGTCTTTGATGATAGCCATTCTGACTGGGGTGAGATGAAATGTCAGTGTCATTTTTTTATTTTCACAGAGCCGAGAAAAGTCTGTTAGACCATCTCTTTAAAGAAAATGTTAGGGCTAGGAAGGTGGCTCAGTGGTAGAGTGCTTGCCTCGCATGCATGAGGCCCCAGGTTCGATTCCTCAGCGCCACATAAACAGAAAAGGCCAGAAATGCTGC